ATTTATGGTTTCATTGTATTTTAACTTCCTACAATATGTTCGATTCTTCATAATTTTATCTGTAATAAAGTCTAATGTACATATAAACAATTTAGACAATTTGTGTGTGTCAAGCTATATGTGAAGTGATTTTTAATTTAAACTTTTTATTAAATATCTCTATCATCTAGTTGTTTATATTAAAAGCAAAATTTCATATATTAATTCTTCCCACCTGTGTAGTTTTTGTAAGGCATATGAATCCTATGTTTTTGACTTTTTAGGAACCTTATATGGAAGGTGTCAATCCATTTATCAAAAGCAATAAACATCGCATGATCATGTTTTTAGATGAACTTGGGGTATGTACATAATTTTCACATTCTTTGAGAATGAACTTAACCATATAAGCATAACCTTTAGATTTTAAAATCAGACCTTCAAAATAAAATCTTCTATGTAAAATTTTTCACTTATTCTTGTATAAATGGCTTATGTCAAGCATTGTGGCTTTTGACCAGCCATGTTTTAGACAGTCTTTTCGATCATTATCCTTTAGCTATTGTTGTATTTATTTTTTTTAAGTTGTAGCTAAAATAGGATTTGAAGCCAGTTAGATTGGAACCTAAAGTTAGAACTAGATGAAATAGTGTAATTACTATGCCTCATTTTAGCTTTTATAAATTCAATACAAAATTCAAGAATATTATTTATGATTTCTGAGATACTAAATAGTAAAACTAAATTTTCTATACCATTTCAAGGACTGAGTGAATTTGATGTAGTATGTGTACACAGAGGAAAAAAATTCTTAAGTAGCACGTATGTGTGAGTTGAGCCAGGTTTATGTCATCAGAATTGTTGAATACTGGGTTGTCTGTGTTTTAGAATACATTAGTATATTCCAATTCAGTGATTCAGTTCAAAGCACATGTTCACCACCACCACACCAGTTTGACAAAGGGATGGCAAGTAAGTATTCATAGGAAATTCTAAGTAAACTCCTGTGAATCTTCCATTAGGTGTATTTCTAATAAAAAAAAATATAGGTGGTAAGTTTTCCCTGAACTTTTTTTTGTCCTTTCTACTAACCTTCAGCTTCTGGGAAGGAAAGCATGATCATTTTTGAGTTATCTTTACTTCAGAAAATTAAATTGCTCTTCAACTTTTAGAAATGTGTAACAAGCACTATAAAAGTAGAATACATCTAAGGTTAATTAAACCACACATTAAATTTTACTTCAAGGCCTGAAATAATAATGGCATTTAACATAATATTATATATTTATTATGATGGCCAAGTTACTCCATGAACCTTAAACACTGTAATGCCTAGTGAATTCACATTTTTATCTTGAGCAGCCTATAGAAATTGCAAATAAAGTAAATCTTTATTAAATTTTCATAATGTAGCCTCTTTAGATGCTGGTCAATTCTTAGTGGTATTTGGTCTAGGGATATAAATTTAAGTAATCCAAATTAGCAATTAACAATGATATAATTTATTTGGCATACACTCTAAATTTAAAAGGAAAAAAAACCTCATGATACTGTCATCCTATGGAAGTGTGGAACCTGGATTCCTTGTGAATAGAGGTTCTAAAACCTACATATAGCAGAATGAAAATTCTTAGACAAATTGTTTTAATGCCTAGTTAGGATAATTTTAGAATGAGATAAATTTAGAATTTAGAAGAGACTACAGGATTTTTATTTCTAAATGCAGTTTTATGATTCCCTTAAAGAATGTACCTGAACTTCCGGACACTACCGAACATTCTAGAACTGACCTGTCTCGTGACTTAGCAGCCCTGCATGAGATTTGTGTAGCTCATTCAGATGAACTGAGAACACTCAGTAATGAGCGTGGTGCACAACAGGTAGGTTTTACACAACAGTGATGTTCATACTTTACAAATGGTACATGGAAAACTGGCAAGTGAGTTATTGTCAATAGTGAGGTATGTTATTCCTTCAGCAACTCTCACACCAAGTACATGAACGTATTTACTTCTGAAACACAGGAGAACTATATGGGACATTTGAAGAATATCTACAGATGATGCCTCATTAGTGATTAAGTCGGTGTGGATCGTAGCTCACACCTTAAAAAAAAATTAGTCCATATTAGATTTCTGCTGTTCATCCCAAAAGATGAAGTTGGGTTTATTTAAATAAGGACTATACCTGGAAAAGTTTTTTAATTAAGTCATTGGAGATAGTCTTTCTTGGGCTAAGGAAGTTAAACAGGGAGAAAAGACATAAGGGGAAGTATAAGTCAAGATACACACATCCTGAATCTGATTCATTTCTTCATGGTTTCAGCTATCACTGCACTGCCGAACTGTCTGGCAGAGATTTCAAAAAAGAAATTAAAAGTGATTATGAATTCTCATTTTAAGTTCAGAAAATAGCCTAAATAATAGAGTTCCAATTGGAAAACATTACAGTAGTTATTACCAAGGTTTATAATGACAAATAGAGCTTCTCTATCTTGGTTACTACTAAAAATACTCAGTTTAAGTAATCAGAACTCATGTTTTAGTAATGAGTATAATGCTAGTACCTTAAGAATCCCATTGCTTTGATGTAGTTTTTATTAAATCCAAATTTCTATCTAGAAACTTTGCTTAGTGATTTTTTTTCCCTCCCATTGTTTTTTCCTTGTGCCTAGCATGTACTGAAAAAGCTTTTGGCTATAACAGAACTGCTTCAACAGAAACAAAACCAGTATACAAAAACCAATGATGTCAGGTAGCAGCCTGGTGTGTTCTGCATGGATTCAGCACGCGCAACATGGTAATTCACATCACTATGTCTTTGCTCTTGCCAAAAAAAAAAAAAAAAAAAAAAAAAAAAAAGACAGAGAGAAAGAAAAATAGCACACCCACCTTTCCACATTCCAGTGATGTGTGAGCTATGCAAACAAAAGCCCAAGATTCTGCTGGTACTGCCAGCACCTTTGTAAGCTATCTGTGCAGAATACTTGCACTTTTTCCACATGGAATCTTTACCAAACTCTGAGCCTTGGTGTACAGATCAACTTTCACAAAAAAAGGAAGAAAAAAAAAAAAAAAAGCTGTCTTGAACTTTGAGAATATATTTTCAGTATATCCATTTGCCAAAGTTTTGCTGTCTCTTGGAAAAGGAACTATGAAACTGACTGACAAGAAAATGCATCCTATTATGACAACAGAATTTTTAACTGGATTGCAGACTCTTCTTACTGTAATTTCTTCCTTCTTAAGAATATGACCATTTGACTGTTCACTGAATTTATTTGTATTTACAGTTTCCAGAGTTTGACATTATAATAGGAACAATCTTGCTGTATACCTTTAAAAAATACTGTGCTATTCTTCCTGGAACTGTTGAAAGACAATATATAGAATGGATGAATCTATGCTCATCAGCTTTATTTTTTAAACATACCACTTATTTTGTTGGAATTGTAAAAGACTGTACTTAGATCTCATGGTTTTGTTAAAATGTTTACAACAGTAAATAGTTTAAATTCAATAAATATTACTGGTCATTGTACCAGCCAATGCATGTTACCCATTTGACCATTTTATAGATTACAGATGTCTTTCATGTTTAAGCAAACTGCTAGAATACTCATGTCTATTCTATGATGACTTTGTTACTGCTTTGATTAGACAGACAACCTCATCAGCCACTTAACAACTTATATGTCTTTGAACTTGTATTTGTTTTTTTCTGCTGGATATTTAGTTTGTATAGTTTCATCTGTTCCTGTGTTTGTATTTTTGTGAAGTATTCACAAAGGTTAAGTTAAAATAAACTGAGGGATAGCTTGCATAATTAATCAGCTTACTATTTAACTTCATGATAGTTTTCTTCTGCTTTTAGGGACAGTTGAAACCTTAGTACCAGTACAAGGCCCAGGAAGATTTTTATTGTTTCATTTATTCACTCAATGTACAACTTGTTAAGCAACATGTCTTGTGCTTAAGACAAGACTTAAAAAACAACATGTAGCAGATTATCCTTAGTAATCAAAATAGTTTTTTTGATTGTTTAAAAAGAACTACCAAGGTATTAATAAAAAGAACTATTAAGGAAAATATTAATAAAACATTCCCTCACTAAAAATGTTTTTCTGAAGGCCTAGATTCTAAAACCTTTTGATTACATTCCTCAGAGATACTGTATACAGTGAAAGATGTTAAGTAACCAAAGGTTTACTCCCTTTGCTGAGGAACAAACTGAAGAGGCCTCAATGTATTCTTTAGAAAGGTGTTTGATACTACCATTGAGAGATTTCCCTAGCTTAAATATGGGGCTGAAATCAGCCATAAAGGTAATTTACCATCCTTAAATAGCTTTAATCAGATTAACTTCGGTAACAAAAAAAAACAAAACAAAACAAAAATTGTGCTTCTTGGCTTTGTGATCGATGCAGTCCCTGTCTCTCTGTAACCCATAACAGTACCGGTTCTTATTGGCTGTGCAATGATAGTGACTCATCTCATTTCCTTAGTAATATGGTGAAAGGGCTATAGAATGGTTAGTATAGATAAGGATTTTCAAAAATAGGTGAAGGTCCAAACTCTAACGTAAGGCATTTTAGTTGATCCTCACCAATTGTACTTGAGTGTTCAGCCATGCTGGCATCTGCCATTCCTTGGCCTGACATGCTTCTCCTTTTTTACCATTTATTTTAAAAGAATCAGAAAGACCTATCCTCATTTTTTTGTTTAACTGACATGTTTCTCCTAAACTGGAGTGGCAAACTTGTTACTTACCTTCGTGGGCCCTGCAGTGACTAGGTGGTTAGAGGTAAAATAAATAAAATCTTTCAAACTTTTTTTTTTTTCTAATGGGACTGGGTAGAAAATTTTCGGAGGTACATGTGGGCTTTGCTCTGATGCTAAACTTTAGAGATCTGAAAGAGAAAGGAGACACACTGTGAACATTTGCAATTCAGTCTATAATCTATCATGTTGCCTTAACTTATTTGGGCATATAAGCTTTGGTTTTTATTCTATTATAAAGCATTACACTTCATCAATTTTATTCCAGAACAAGAAAGAAAACCAGAAACTCAAGCCATAAAAGTAATTGCTAGAGATGAACATGCATATAGAGATGAACATGAACATAAATAACACCACATTTTAAGATAGACTAAAATGTTACCTACCCTCCTGGGAAGTATATCAATGGAATATATAAAGCTGGGTAGGTTTTTGAGGTGGTTGAGTTTCTCTGAATTTCTTCAAGCCAGTTTTCAGGGGGTGGGAGGGAAAAAAAAGTCCAAAAAACAAAACAGTTGCCCGATAATATATACCTATCTGCAATTTGGTCCTAACTGTATTATCTACCACTTAACTACATTAAGACAGTATTAATGTACAACAAACATATTAGCATGCCAAGCACTGCTGTGAATAATCCTACCAGGAGTAGGCATCATCCTTTTCCCCATTCTCTACTTGGGAAAGTAACACACTGAGGTATAATTTACTCATAGAAAAAAATAGAGGTATACCTAAATTGAATTCCATGTTGTGGATTTTTATATTAACTTATTTCATTTTTAAACTTTTGAATGTATCTCATCTACAGATTCCTAGTGACCATAATGCCTACTTTATATGGATTCACTTCATATGATCATTTAATGATAAGAGTGAATATATAATTTGCTACCACTTATCTGTAGTAATTTAAGATTTTTATCTAGACTCAAAAATTATATTTTATTTAAACCCAGATGTCAGTAACTGCTTAGAATAAAAGTTAGTGCCTAAGCACTAAATAACTGCCCAATACATTCTACAGCTAGTAGTAATTCATAATTAGTACAGTCTATTGAGATACATTTTGAAAAGCCATTTGTAAGACCCTCTGGAGAATAAAACCTATTTCCTTAGCACTTCCAAAGTTTACCGACTACTAAGGTTTGTTTTCTGCATTTCTTCTAAATGGATAGGTTTGTTTAATCACATTTTGCTCAAAACAGTGTAAGGAAGTGCACCACAGTTTGACTTTGGCCATCTTAGGAGGACAGAATTAGCTACTAATCTTAGTGAGTTATGAATATCCAAAATAGGTAGTATTCAGCCTTTTTTCAAATTATATGTAAAGCATCACGAGAAAAAATACAATTAGAAAAGTTTAATATATTTTGATGTTTTCACATTGTAGTACTTTAAAGAAAGTTAAATGCCAGACATGCTTCCTACTTCTGTTGCTTAGTTAGCACTGCCGTAGTCATTTCAAATTATTAGAGAGAATCTACCAGGTCATCATCAGTCCATTCCTCCTAAGGGGAAAAAAAAAGTAGTAAGGGCAACATTGAAGCAGGGAGCCAGTAGTTTTTTTTTTTTTTTTTTTTTTCCTTACCTCCCTTTAAGAAAATGCTGATTGACAACAGTCTATTATAGATTTGTTTTTCTGAAATGTAACCTGTGGTTGCAGCCAACCTTGGATTCTCCTGCCTCCCAAGTACTAGGACTACAGGTGTGGGCTAAGTACAGCACTTGATTGTAATGACAGGGACTCAACTGTCTACTCTATGCAGGAATGAATGAAAAAAAAAAAATTGCTATCCTCTTGCCTCTGCTTATTTACCTTTGACTTGTTAGAGACAATTTTAAAAACTGGGGCAAGGGAAAAATCCTTGGGGAATAAGACTAAATTTAGCACCACTGCCTTCTAACATAGCAAGGATTATTCAAGTTTCAGAATTGGATCATATATTTGTTAAAAAAACAAAACAAAACCAAATCCCTTAAATGTTGACAAGGTACTCTGCTTCCTGGTCAGCACCATGTAACAAGCAACTGCCCCACAAGCTCCTGCCCTCTGCAATGCTACCTCTTGCAGTGGATTCTGTTACCCAAAATAAATACTCCAATTAAAGACTGTTTTTTAAATTCAGACTGTGTATAATGAGGTGAGTAAAAAATAGTAATTTCAAACTTCAGAGGTACTTTCAGTCCCAGCCCTTGCAGGACTGAGGTAAGAGGCCAATCTGGGCCAAGTAGCAGGGCACTGTTTAGAACATTCATGTCCCCACTTATCTATAATGCTTACAATGCTCCAAAACAGTACATCTTAACTTAGGTCATGCCAGAAAATATAAAATAAATTATATAAAATTTACCTCTTCTTGTTTGGGTTTCTTTGATACATAGTCATCATCTTCATAGCCTTTCCTCTTCTTCCTATAATTAAGCAATTAGCAATTTGCAAACTGATAGTAGCAACAAAGCTATAAAAATAGGAACTAACAAGGCTATGTGAGCCACAACCCAATGCTATAGCTCACAGCTACAATGCTAGTACTCAGACTGAGGCAACAGTATTGCCTGAAGTTCAAGAGACCCTATATTCAAAAACAAACATATCTGCTAAAAAATAGGGATTAAATAAACAAAGGATTATATGTGACTATGAAAGCAATACTTAATCCAGTGTAGCAAGAACCTGCAAAGATTATGAAAAGAAGCTGAGCATAGCTATAAAACTCAGTACTAGTGACTAATGAAGTTTTTGGATAATCCTAGGCTACTCAGTGATACCTTGCCTCAAGTAAACATAGCAAAGAGAATCCAGAAGAAAGGTGTTGGAAGACCTTGTTTTCGTTATCATAAAGGCATACTAAAATGGAGCCCAATTGTGATACACACTTGGAGTGTCAATACTTAGGTGGGTAAGGCAGGAGGATTGAGAGTTGGAGACCTGCTAGGTCTTATAACAAGACCTTCCTAGGAACAATAAAAGGGCACAATATAAAAGCTATGGCTATTAAGAGTGTGGTGTCATATACATCAGAAGTGGCTTCCCATGTCTGGTGACAGACTCGGTGGGTTTTAAAA